ATGACTGCGGAAAAACAGACTCTCCTAGCCGCAAATGGGAAGACGGATTCTCAGACAGGGCTTGCGAATGCCCCGCAGCCATCATTTAACTACGCCCGCAGAGCAGTTACGGTTTGTCACCCGACCCTCCCGGATCGCCTCCTTTGTCCCTAGTGAGACCCCGAGGCTCTGCCCGCGCCGGGCTTCTCAGTAGCTGGATGCATGTCGTGCTCCGGGCAGCGCTGGCGCAGGGCACGCGTTCGCGCACACCCGCGCACACACGAAAACGCGCAAGGTACGGCAGGGGAGCGAGGGCTCTGGGTGCCCCGCGTGGGGGGGTGGGCATCGCGGGGAGTGAAGGTACGAACTGGGAATGGCTACATCCTGCCAGGTTGAAGGATGAGAGAAAACGATACGGCGCCACACATGGGACAGGCCAGGGTTGCTGCCGCGCATTTAGGGAACCCAATACGCGTCAGGCGCGCTCCCTTCCCCTCACATGTCTCTATTTCCCGGGCATGTGATGCCCGAAAACGGCAGGAAAAAGACCCACCTAGAGAGCTAGAGTTGCGTTTGGAGATTCCCCTCCCTCTGCAAAAGTACCGACAGGAAGACCCTTCAAAATCACCGATCCCCAAATAGATGACCCGGAGTGGGGGCGGCTATCCTTGGTTTCCAATGCTGGACACGTTTTGGGGTTAACGATATTTATTTATTTTTCAGATAGCTCGTCCTCCCTTTTAGACAGGATGGGGAAGGAGAATGCAGCAGGGAGGGAGAAGGGAGGGAGGATTCCTATAATAAGAATCAGCGCATTTTTCAGAGCTGAACCGAGCCCGGTTTCCATTTCAAAAAAGGAGACGGCCTCTACTGCGATTTTAGAAGAGACCGCGGTGTGAATTAGGGACTGGGAGGCGTCGGAGCGGAGGACCCGTCCATCTCAGAGGTACCTGAATCTAAATGCACGCACACACACGCACACACAGGCGCGCGCGTCTCCACGGCCAGGCTGTGTGCGGGTGTGCGCGTGTGTGAACTCCCACATGCTGCTGCTGTCTGCTCCTGGCCAGTGGCACCGATGCCTCCCTCCTCCCTGCTCGCCCCCAGATTCCCCTCCCTTCCCTGTTGCTTTTGTCTGGAGGGTGTTATGGGTTTGTGTGTGTATGAGCGTGTGTGTTTTTGGATTTCAGACTAATTTTCTGGAGTTTCTGCCCCTGCTCTGCGTCAGCCCTAACGTCACTTCGCCAGCAGTAGCAGAGGCGGCGGCGGCGGCGGCTCCCGG